GTATTTTGGATTGCTCCGGCAGCACCTCCTTTTGTAGCCAGAATATATAACTTTTTAAAGGTGTTCAGGTATCATGTATCACAAACAAACTAAAAGCTAAAAGTTCAGCCTCCGACTTGAACATTTTAATCTTTTTTCACTGAGGGTTTGGACAGTAATTAGCTGATGTTCCAACCAGGACATTGACCATTTCCACAAGTTGTGGCTTCCTTCCCCATGCATTCCAGCTCGATTGAGCACACTTCGCCTTCATTGGGGCCTTTCACATCGACTGTTGAGTTCTGGCAAAGGTATTCACCCACAGTGAGTGCGTTCTGCATGCCACTTTTTCAGTGTTTAAGTCTCCAGTATTTAATCTCCAACAAAGCGCCTATTTGCCTCAAAGAGGACTTCAACGTGGCCTTTCACATGGAGTAGCTCCACCTCTGAGAATCACCCGCTGCCCCATCTGGTCAGAAGCTCAGAAGGTTAATCAGAAGTATTGTAGAAATAGATTGAGGGCATATGTGTTGCATTTTGTCATCTTCATTTTATTTAATTGTTTTGAAGTTGCTGTCATGTTTTGTTTTTTTTTATACCTTGATCAGGCCAACTTATTCTGAGTTTTCGAACCCACGTTTGCTGTGTGTGGTCTAAATTAACTCAAATTTTTAATAAAAAGCTTTTGCATAAAGTTTGGGAGCTCTGGCCAACCCTGTTTCCTAGAAATTAAGTTTTCCAGTACAACCAATTTGCCACAAGTGGTTATTGTATTACAAAGCGTTGTTTTTGCGCAGTTCAGGGTTGCTCTTAAAAGGCTTTTACCAAAACTAAAAACCTCTGACTGCTATCGAAAATCGCCTGTTATTTCCTTTCATGAATTGCTGTTGTCATGCTGTTTCCATTTATCTACAAGTCAGGTCAAAATTTGTTAATTGAGAGTTTTTCCTGCAAAGTAAGAAATGACTATAATTTAGACGACCATAAACTAGATTCAACGAGCAGGATCAGAAGTATCTCAGTTCTATACTTGTTTTGGGAAAAATAGGAATTTTCCTTGACAAAAAACACAAACAAACCTCAATTGGACAACCTAAGTTGCTGTAAATATACGATTAGAGTGCTGGAAAGCACTCATTCCGCCATGTGCTTATTGTCCACTTGTTGGTGGAAAATGATTTTTCAATTATTACTACACCTTAACTAACCAACCCGATTTTTTGCCTTTATTCTGAAAGGACAGTGAAGAGTAGAAGAGGAGGGTCGGGTGAGAGAGAGAGAGAGAGAGAGGATGACATGCAGCAAAGGGCCGTGGGTCGGTCTCAAACCCAACGGCCACTACGCGTCAGGAGTGATGGTGCGCCACTTCCCAGGTGAGCCACGAGACGCACCTGTGTTCCAGTATTTTCAAAATTCTATTCATCGAGAAATAATCTTTCTTTTGGCAACTTGTCTAAATTATTTTACAGAAAAACCCTGAAGCTACGATTAAGATTACTAAACCATTCGATATAATTTTCAACCATTAGTTATAACGATCTCAGTGATAAAACTGACGTACTTTAAGACATTATAAGTAATTAAAAAATGAATGTTTAGTAATCTTAATCTTAGCTTCAGGGTTTTCTGTAAAAGTAATTTAGACAAAGTTGCCAAGAAAGATTATTCTCATGAATATATTTTGAAAATACTGAAAACACAGGTGCTCGTCCGGTGGCTCACACTGGGAGAGTTGCGCACCAACTCACTCCTGACCAGTGGGCCTGGGTTTGAGACCGACCCACGGCCCTGTTGCTGCATGTCATCCCCTCTCTCTCTCTCTCTCTCTCACCTGACCTCCTCTCTTACTCTACTTGTCCTTTCAGAATAAAGGCAAAAATGCGGGTTGTAGTTAATGTAGTAATTAAGTGAAAAAATATTTCCAAACAAATGATCAATTAAGCACATGGGCGGAATGATCTTTCCAAGCACTCTCATGTTATATTTACAGCAATTAGGTTTAAATTGAGGTTTGTTTGTTTTTTGTCAAGGAAATTCCTATTTTTCCCAAAACAAGTAATAAAATGAGATACTTCTTGATCCTGCTCTGAATCTATTTATGTCGCTATTATATCATTTCTTTACTTTGTAGGAAAAACTCTCATTACAATTTTGACTGACTTTGTAGATAAATAGGAAACACATGAAACAGCATTCAAAAGGAAAAAACAGGATGTTTCATAGCAGTCAGAGGTTTTAGGTTTTGTAAAAGCCTCTTAAGAGCCAACCCTGACTCGAAAAACAACGTTTGATTACAATTACACTTTGCCAAATTGTTGTATGGAAACTTAATTCTCTAGGAAACAGGGTTG